CTGCCGCAATTCATCAACTCGTTTGAGCAAATTTGATTTCCCGATTCACAAAGAGAAGAAGCACTGAACAGCGACCGCACATCATCTGGGAAGTATGACTCAATAGAGTGTCTGACACTCGAGCGGGAGTTTGAATCTCAATGATGTTTAGGTCGATGGGGCTGGGGGCATTCAGTGCTGATAAGAGCCAATAAATAGATAAAATTATATACATCATCTCCCTGAAGAGTGTCAGCTGGCTCAGAATGAGTGTTTTTTCGTAAATAACAATGCATTTTCCTGATTGGAAAACTGTTTTACAGAAGGAATTCCAAGAAAAAAAGCAAACGGCACTGTTTCGAAACCGTTAGTGAATAATTCTGGAGACCTTCAGGGTGCTGCGCTTTCTCCGCACATTCACTAATGACTTCTCCTCTCTCGCCCGCCAAGACCGTTATACATGCAGATGACGTGATCTTATGTCCAGCCATTTCAAACCAATTTAACATAGGACATTTTCTGACAGTGTATTATAAGTGTGATTATTCTCGAACCAATCCGGTCTCCAGTAGGATGCTTTCAAATACTTTGAATGTCTTGAGTATCCCTTGGGACCCTCAGTCATCAATTTTTAGTCATTATCAAAACACACACAAACAAATAACCAGGAGTCATCGTAGCGAGCAATTTGCGGTGTTCCTCTCATATGCTAGCCTGTGTTGGTAGATTTCATCGGATATCCTTCCAGATACACAAGCTACAACAACTTAGAGTAAAGCATGAAATTATATGTTCCTTTGTTTATCAATGCCTTTTCCAGTCACTTCATTCTTCGCCGGTTATTTTCACAGGATTACTTAAAAAGAATTTCATTACCCTTCGCCACAGTTTGGCAATTATTAGGCATGTTTTTTCTTTTTCCCGCGTAAACTCTAATCACAAAATGGTGTGGTTTTTATGTTACTTCATTTGGGAATTTCGCCCAAAACGATCCCATCTCGATTTTCTGCTTGCCGTTCCCACGCTACAGCCCGATGCATTTATCGCTGCTCATCCTCTTGCACAACAATTTATCGCATTTCAACGGTACCCTATTTGGCTTGTATTCTCACCGAAAAGAGTAAGAGCATAAAAGAACCAATTTTAAATCTACAAGCATGATCTTTTGTTTAAGTTTCATCATTGTGTTAAATGACATTTTCGATGGAGATGTAGGTATAGTCGGTTGCAAATGTCATTAAAATACAATAGAGGAGACCAAAACTACATTTTGTGATGAGGGTTTCAATAACAGAATGTTAAAAAGCGGTTCACCTTACTAATCTTGAAAATCCCCAGTTTCTTTAAGGGTACTCGAGACTTCAATCTCGGAATTCGGTCAATGAGTATATCTCCTAAAGCATCTGCAAGGGAAGTCCTACTCACTGTTTTCACTAAAATAATAATTCGAAAATCCTATATCCAGGGCTACAGTCGGGTTGATAAGTCACAGAGAAGCTCATTTGGAGTAGCTTGAAAGCTCTGCATGCAAAACTCCCAGGAGGAGTATGAACCAACTCCAGAAAATAAAAAAAAACTGTTTTCCCGTCACAAATTTGAACAGAAGAGTCAGGAACATGGGTCTGCACAATGTATTAATGGTCATCGAATAACCGAACACACCCCAGTGTGGCTTAGGAAAGCAATGAACGACAAGTTTGTAACCGTTACGTCATCGGTTGCTCAGAAAAATACTTATATCTTCAATAACACAACATTTATTCGATAAAAACATTGTCACTCCAAAACGCATTCCGGATCATCTACAACACATCGAACACAAAGCTACTGAAATTTGCCGAGGATCTAGCCATTCATACTCTCAAACCCAATATATGCAAACAACGTGAATGGATAGTCACATTAGCTTTGCCTTGGTGATTGACCCCGACCCTCCCTCGTCCTCCTTTTTTGTGTTGTTGTGTCGTGTTGTCCGTGGTGATTAGCAATCTTGTCTTCGTCTCACAGTTATGGTCTCACTGAATATAAAAATCACTTTGACTGCAGTATGCACGTGTACAGATGCAGCGAAACGATCATGAAAACATTCTGCAAAACCAAGATTCAGACTTCTCTGTTCATACTCCAGAAGAGTCTGATCACACTTGGACGATGAGCCATATCAGACATCACAAATAAGAGAACCACACTGGAAGAAAGCATCCGACTGACTGGACACTGGCCCCCGAAAGATTACGGTTTTTACACCACCCCGCTAGCTTGCTGTTCAGGTCATGGTTAACCCAAGGTTCGAGTTGTGTATTCGATAACCAGGCAATAATCCACCCTCACACAAACCACAGATTTATTTCGTTGATACTAAGGTTCTTCAATCACGGTGCATTTTGCGTCCGGTCTAAACCCAAACAAGCAGCGTATATGTGCATGTAACGAAATCTCTGAATGGAGATCCAAACTCTGTCATCGCTATGAAATTTAGGTGGTAGATAGGTTTACTGTCATGGAATTGATTGTCATACATGTTCCATTGGGGCTTATGTAATTCATTATTCTTAACCCTAAGGATTGCAAGAGTGGGCGCGAGCAAAACACGTGATTGTTCATCTTTGTTCAGTTGAGATCAGCATGTTTGGTTCAATTTGTTTTTGGCACACATTTAACCATACTTAAAGTGAGCGAAGTTTTATACCAGTCCAGTTGTTCGATGAATGAGATTTCGATCAGCTTTTCTGGTCTCGATTGTACAGTCCTATTTGTTTACCACGTGCGATGGCGCATGCGTTCAAAGTGAGAGTAAGACATTGGAATTTGCTCCGGGGACTGGAATAATGTGAATCACTGGGACGATGTTACGTTGATAGGAATGTAGAAATAAACGCGGTCAAGGTCAAAGCATACCACAAACTTTCTAGTGGACTTATAATGTTGTTAAACGTGAAGCGTTCTCACAGTTAGGAAAATATCTTTTACCCAACAATAATGGTTGTGTGAAGTTGTCATTAGCTAGAATAAAGTTGTATCTTGCCTACTCAATACGCTGTTGACCAAGGTAAAAGGGAGCAGACAGATATATATTTTTTCAGTAGTTTACTATTCCTCACTATTCCAGTTTCATTTCACATGATGAAAGACTCATTTAATGAGATTAATTATGCCCAGAGTTGGACTGATATAAATTAGAACTATTTTACTACCTGAGATTACTTCTCGGAATTGATGACTATCCTCATTATTGGTCTGATTGAGGATATTACGAGGAGAAACAAGTATGCTTCACTTGAGAACATAGAAATCCGAGCGAGGTAAATATTACTTGAGAAGTCGAAGCGGTTGTCCTGTGAATAAAAATACGCTCAAATAAGAATACAATAGGAATAGAATTTCTAAATGGAATGCATTAGATGGAATCCTCTTTAATAAGGAGAAGCAAACACAGATGGCTATGCAACCAATCGAGGTGAATTTCAGGTTTCATGGGTGTACAAAATACGTTGGAATATCCGTTGATCGGTAACCCGAAATATAGCTGGGTTAAGTAAGTTGTAAACTGATAAAAAGAAAACTTGTAACCCATAGTTTGGTAAGGGCGTGGCAGAGCGGAGGGGATTCACAGCCTGTGTTTTTGAAGCTCCGTTGATCTTGGCGTGACAGGACTGGTCGCAACTTCCAACGTCATCATCGTGCAACAGAGGCAACGATCAGACTCGCGTTCTAAGTCAGCTTTAATCAGGTTTTTCCGCGCACACAGTGATACGTTTAACAGCCTATTTGCTATCGACTTCGCAATTGTTATTGGTGTTGTACCACGAGCTTCAATCTATTTGAATTTACTTAATAATAACTTTAAACTTGCTGTTATCAAATTGATGCCCTTTGTTCACCAGGTGGGCTGCTACAACACGTCCAACTGTTTTGATACATTAAGAACTCAGACAGGTCGAACTGCATTCTTTGGTTTCATGTCGCAGCTACCTTGTGCTTCAATTTACATAACTCACTACACAGAAAGAAGTGAACGAATAGGTAACCCCTGATGAGTTGGGGGAGAGGCAATTTATCTTTGAGATTCGTCTGTGGTGTTGGCCTACTGGTCAACGTTACCGGTGGAGCAGCGATTGTATAGGTGCGAAAAAAAGCCGACATCATTTTAGCATTTTACTCTTCACGCTACTTTTAAAAGGCGATCGTGAGAACAAATCTTTTCTCTCACATAATATTGTTTCTCTCGATAGTAGTCTTTCTGTAATGGTTTTCTTAGTGAACGTTTCTGAAAATGTTCGATTGTTTTGAATTGCGTGCCTGATCCTTTGTTGTTCAGTTGGAGTGGATTTAGCCGACTCTATAGATCGAGAGATCGAGATTGCACGAGATTTCTCCCGCACTTGATGACCAAATCTATGTATTGACGGTCCCAATTTGGTTATTGGTGGTTAGAACGGTGTAATTATCTATATTATTTTTTTATCTTGACGTCGAGAAAAACGGAATTAGTTTTCCCTTTCATTTAGGATGCGACACCAATGGCATCGTGGGTTTGGTTAAAAAGCTCCAATATCATGTTAGGTAAAACGTTATTTTGAAGTATAAAAATGTTGTCAGTATTATAGTGCATATTGATATATTGATTACTTTACAAATTTAAGATGACGATATCTGCCAGCCGTGCTCTCTCCTCCTGAACTACTTCCTCAGTTCTGCCCTCTGAAAGTTCCGCCAGCGATGAGTAATCTTTTCTTGCACATACCTAACACTATACTTTAAAGTAGATCAACTATATCGGAGTCATGGTTATAATATACTTTTGAACACAATACTCAGCACAACATCAAGAGTACAATTTTTAACTGAAATGTAAGCATATCCCAGCTTACAAAAGTTATACAAATACAAGACTTCTGAAGTTGAAACATTACGCCGCCAAGGCCTCGGGTAGCTATACTGATAACAGCAAAACGAAACGCAAGAAAGCGATCGGCAACACATCTAATACCATATTTACAAAGTGGCTTTGCTCACCCAGGTCAGCTGACTGTCAAATGCAAGGGTTGCCCATCTAGACCATTCAATAGTGGTTTATCACCGTTAGATTGAACCACAATCTTTTCTTCGAAGTCCTCCTTGAACACTGCGGTCACGGGGATTGGATCTTTTTGGAGAAGCTGGCGTTTTGCACACCAGAAGTGCACTGTGAGAATGCACGTGGCGTGACTCATGACATTGATTACAGTGCGTAGACGATCACTAACAAGGGGAGTAGAATTGTACAGAGTGCATGAGGAAATCGTAGGCGAGAAATTGAATAAATATCCCGGTTGCAATATTTTGAATAGGCTTGTCCATACACCACTCAGTCGAGTGAGAGTTCATAGCACAGTAGTTTACTTCACTTTGTGAATCGAGTTTAACTTTTTCTGAGCGTACGTGGAACTGAGAGCAAAAATTAATAAAACTAATCTATTTGAAAATGAGAAAAAATGAATAATTAAAAAAGGGAATAACTATATTAGCCTGTAGGAGATTTATGTGGAACCTAATACTTGTTAGTTTAAGTGGGAGTCATGTGGGCTGCTGGTGGATTACAATATATATTTGTCCGGCATGCCAAGCTGCAAAACTGTGCCTAATTGTGAAATTGGAATCGAAAGCTTGTATATCAGAGCTAAGGAATGACTAGGGTATGGTAATCATAAGAACTAGTGTGGAGAGCACACAGCCATGTAATTCACGTGTTCCAGGGAATAGGAAAACAATAGCAACAACAAAACAATAAGAAATAACATTCGCTATATGGTGAATTGATAAACGGAAACGGGGTAGGTTTTGCAGAGTAATTTGTCACAAAATCGGCCGATTACTATTAGCAGTTGGCAGCAGTGTTCATCTGTCGACACTGTCGAGGATTGAATCGGAACAAGATAAGTTATTCATTCAATACTAACCAGGGTAATTCACTTTTGGTTCCTGTGAAATTGCTTCTTCCTAACAACAATGATATGGTAATGATATCGAAATAGTATATGCACCTAAAAGAATAATTTTACCAGGGCTGGATGCAATGTGTTTGGTGGGCTCAACATTTGCTCAAAATATCAGCAGCTGAAGCAACTAATCAGTGCTTTCAGTGGCACTTAACTAGGTGTACTCGGTGCTGAGATTCAAGACGTAGCGCGATGAAGTTGCCACTGATTTTTCCGCCTATCAGCATCGCCAAATATTTTCTAGTGTCCTTGATAGTTTTGATGTTATGCCCACAAGTGTGGAGGGCATGTTACACCTAAATTACGGCGCTTCTAAATAGTTCTCGTATTACGTTTATGTGATTGCACTGGTTGTACAAACTGAACTGAGCTGATTTCAACTCTTGTGATACAGTGCGTAAGATCTGATATATTGGCGTGATAAATTTCGAATGAATGCTTCTATTTCCACCTTCTTATTACCATGATGAAAGTCTTGTTCGAAATTTAGTCATCCGTACTGCTTGTGATCTTCTACTTAATTACGCAAAATCACATTTCATCTAGGTGAGTAAAGCTAGCCGTGATGGTGTAAAACACCGAACGCCTGCAAAATTAGAAACGTCAGAGAAATATATTCTGGCAAAGCATGGCTGTTGACTTGCTTTCAAGTACAGAATGCTAATCAGAATTCGCAATGTTTTTTTGGTGGTTTTTGTTTTGTTAATGTTGACCTCCCCGTTAGTGTGGATGATAGAAGGCAATTTGTGAGGGACTTTTATGTTGTAATTCGGCTGTTTCTGTTGAACAGAATACGTCACTCTGTGGTCAAACGCATATCGCTCCGCGATCATATCCGGTCAATCTCATTAGCTATTCGGTGAATGAGACTAGTGAGAAGGAACCAGCAGTGGGGCAGTGATTGTCGAACCTCATGCCGATTTGGAGTAGTATCTTATGTGAAAAACTAGAGTCACATTCCTTACCCGGAAAGAGCTTATGTGATTTTCTATTAGTTGAAAAATAACTTCACGAAGAACCCCAAGAGTATTTCTGTTGAAAGTATCTTTTTGATGACGTCAAAGCTTTGCCGGACCAGGTGTTTCCCAACATAACGTTAAAGGAAACCGTGCGTCCTTATCACCCCTATCTACTTGAACTTTCTTTATACTCTCTGCGAACCTCTGATTTACTGCAATTTTTTGAAAATTTTAATTGCTTGAGATTTACTGAAATTTACTGAAACTAATAGCAACGAAATAACCCTTAGGTGTGGCATATAATCAACCAGCCCGACGTAGTTCTTGCACATATGTACTCAGGAGCGATGCGAGAACGCAAAGTTGGGTATTGACATACGAAGCGAAAATACATAAGAACAGGACTTGAAAAAAAGAAAGAACTCTATTTTATAGAAGTACGCAAAATCCGACTGAGTTTAGGACTGAAGAGTGTAAAATTCGATGAATCGCATTCAGTAGAAATTCCATTTTCTACAGAGTGTCAGATCCGAACAATGTTCGGAGTGTATCTACCCTTTGCACTATGTCCGGTATCCATAGGAATGATTAAAAGAAACCAAATGAAGTACGTCACTGATAGCTTCTACTTACAACTTTCTAGCAATTCATATTCGATAGTCGAATTTTGGGAAATTTCTAGTTACAAGCAGACTGGTTTTCGGGCGGTATAAGACCGCTCCTATTTCCAATCAATGCTTAACGCAGACAGACGAGGAAAACTAGTAAACAGCATTGCAACACGGGGTAAGTGTTTTCCAAAATCGATGAGTTCAGGCAAGCAATGGGCAACACACGGCTTGGAGCAGGACAAACCCACATTCGAAAAGACGTACTTGATAAATTCGACGATGAACAGCAGTGAGACGGCTTGTTCGGGGATTTGAAATACGCGGATAATGAGAAACACCGTTATAATACTTGCACTGGGTACTGCGGGCAAAGCCATTACGTTGAATCCCGCAAGGAACCTGATGTTCGATCGGGACGTGTTTGTAATAAAGAGGGAGAGAAAAGTTGGAAGAAAGAATTATGCGTTGCTATGGCAGTATGTTAAACAATGAGCGCTAACGTTTAACGACGGAAGTGAAGAATAAGAGCGTACAATATTTCAATCCCTTTTTTTGAAGGAACCTCCGGAAGTGATCATGTGCGGCCAAACGCACAAAACCAACCGTTTTGCAGCTATTTTTAATTTAACTAATGGTCATATAGAGAGAATGTAACTTTTCACTAGGAGATACACTCACAAAACCGAGGTGGGCAAAAATCAACTCTAGGAGAGCTAAACTATAAGTGGACTCCGGTACACTGAATACTGTATGAAATACATCTTGCTTTTGTCATCCCAATTTGGCAATAATTTGATTGATTATCATTATTTGTCAATTATCAAATAACGAGTTATTTATTTAAACTGAAGAGCTAGACACAAACTGGGGCTTGCTTGAAGTTAATCGTAAGATAGTCAGAAGAGTTCCGGAAAAGCGTGTGTGATTATTAACTGAAGTGTAAATGTATCTAGAAAACCTATCAATTTAAAATGTAAATCAATCAGATGAAAGGTTTATTGCTGAACTATCCACATATTACATACAGAATAGCCGAATAATGACGAAATCGTAAGGAAAGCTTACACTAAGAAATGCCTGGGGTGAGAAGGAGTAAGCTTGGATACGGAAAGGGTAATTAGGGGAGGGGGTGTGTGCGGGGAGGTTTCACAGATTTGCAGTACAATCCAGATAAGACTAGCGGGATGAACAAAGATTTGTGGCCCACCCCCAAAAAACCTTTCAAAAAGTTACCGTTGTTTATATTGGCAGAAATTAGATAAGCATTAGGGCAGTTATAGAGCTTAATCATACAGCTCGTTTGGCTCAATGAAAGTAAGTACCGGAATGAAGAACATTTGAAATAATTACCTGTAACTGTGAATAGCGCTTCAGGTTTATTTAAGCCTCTTTGGGTTTTATGGTCATTGTGCATTCGTTGGCGACGCTCAAAATTAGAATGAAAATAACGACGATCTTTTAAATAATTGAAAATACAATTCAGCAGCTAAACAAAGTGTATCTGGAAAAGATACATAAAAAAGACGGATGACAGTAGTGGGATACGAACAAACGACCGTCAGATAGCATTGAGAAAGTCTTTAGTTACTTGAAGAGCAGAATGCAAGAGTGCAGATGATCGAACTGATATCCTAGAGTAATGGAGGATTTCATTTGATGATAGCAAAGATTTCGTGCACAAGGCAAATGATATGTGACATGAAAAGCTAGGAAACACTGGACAGCTGTTTCAACCTGCTTGCACCTCATCAACAGTGAATACATCGATCCGACTGGTGATCGAGTCCGGGATCTCACAGTTCACACTTCGACAAAATTCACTGTATCAAGCTTATTATTAGTGAACCAGATCGCGCTATTTGCTTTTCCAAAGGTACTCATGGTCACTGAAAACCTGAACAATGATGCCCCTAACAATGTCATACTTTTACAGCGACTTCGATCATTTTACTTGGTTGTGTCAAGCCGGGCAAATCACTTTCTCAGTAGATAGCGTTAGTTAGGACCGAAAACAGACAATATATATTTTCTGTCAAAGCGCTTGTCACCTTTTGGGTATTAATGGAGTTGAAATCTTTGTGAGGTTATCTTTTGGTATAATACAGGGCCACATTCGATGGTTAATGAGCGCCAGTATCTTGAGTTCCACTTAATAGTTCTTAAGTAGCACGGAAAAGGCTGAGCATTTGTTCCACTTTTCTTTTAAGAACAGCATTGTTTAGCGCACAAGCTCACCACACCCTAGCCGCTGCGGAAGCGATCGGCTTTCGTTTATTCAAACCCAATCTATGCGCACAGAAGAGATTGGCCCATGCTATTCAACTACCGTGGCCAAAGATCGATCGCACGTGACGCATCACAGTTTGATTGTAGTATTATGGTGATCTAGGGGCGTAAAACACGTCGCACCACCCCACTCCCTTTTCCTCTCCCATTTCAATCAATCACTGTAACTTTTGAATGACGGAATGACTATCCCCGTTCAAAATGCCATTTTCCTGTTTGATCTGTACAGGCCAGAAGATGAATCAATGAAAAGGATTCTTCGCCTCTAAATGTGTTCTCATTTCAGTTAGTTATAATCATTCAAATTACCAGCATTAACTATGATTATCAAAATAAGGAGGAGGGCATGACAAATAGCAGTCCTTATCGTTCAGATTTGACTCAGAAAGTGTGTGCGCGTGTAAAATTGTTCGCTACATAGCGTTATCGAAAACCCCTTTAAATTTGACGATATGGTTCCGACTTGTTCAAAATGAGAGTAGGCGTGTTTTATGTTGAAGTTCACTAACTGTCCAGCTACTAAAAAGACTTGCGGAATTTTCGCAAGTCCCTGTTGTTCATCGTGAAGAGATTGAAACCATACTCCGTATAAAACAGACCGGTTTAAGCCTGGCATCGTTATGATGAACTCGAAAATAAAGCTAACTCACTTAAATGAAGGTTCTAACACCGGGACAATTGCATTTTGTGGTAAAATCACCTAATGTATATGGACATGAAACCCGCACATCAGTATCAAGACTGGATGAAAGCTCCTAAAGAGTGACGGTGCCTTCAGAACGCCGTTTGGGTCACAACACGGAATTGATGATGGTGCTTGGGGAGTAATCTGGCACATATTCCCTTACAAAAATCAGGTAAATGGTGAAAATTTAAGATCGCGCAGTTACAACTCGCTTAATAACACACGTCTTCCGTTATCATGCACGAGTTATTAGATGGGATGCAATGCGCACCATCGTCTGCCTTTAGCTATCTGAGTAGAAGGAAAATAACATTTTTAATCATCCAGCCAAAGTGATATTAAATGAGAACTCTAACCTGTTTGCGTATGTGCTTGCGTGTTAGATGATCGTGACATCATGTGTCGAGTGTTCATAATTGGTTATTTGACGGCTAAGGATCACATTACCGGTGCCCAGTTAAATTGTTCATCGACCATGAAATGATCTGCCCCAGAAAAAAATCACCAAAAGGGTAACAAAATCGGTCAAAATACGTTTTTAATTCGATACTGTAACCGGGGCTGAACTCAATAAGCACATCCAGGTTGTAGACTGACTAAGAAGACACCAAATAGTACATAAAGTGGGTACACGTATCCGGGTGGCCGCGATAGGGAACTGAGGCGACATAGATGATACTTTGGTGTCACTTAATCATCCATGAAGCTGACTTATTCTCGAGAGGGACTATTTGATCCACTAGTAGGAAAATATAAACAAAGCATGCAGAAGGAGGGTCTGAAATAATGTTCTAACAAACCAGTACTTGCCAGTGGCATTCAGTAACACAACACGTCAAACATCGCTTGGTCAGATCCTAATGTGGTTAGCTGTTCCGGGCTGGCAGCATTACCAATAATTGGGATCAGAACACTACCTCCATTCTGACAGCTGTTGACCAGCAACATACCAAATCAATTTTTTTTGGATGATGTTTGATGAAACCTATAAAAAATGTATGAAACGGTGCATAAGCACCAGAATAGGCAACGATTCGAAAAAACGAAAAAATCCTCAGGGGTTCATTTCCAAGGGCGTAAGTTGAAGCGACCTGGCGAGAATGAAAATCGTGTTCTTTTTCAATGATATCAGAAGAATAAATAACAAGTGTGTGTATGTGTTTTTGTCCATCACCGACAAAAAATACAGCCGAAAAGAACAATCCCAATCACGTCAGTAACAAACAGGTGTCGCACGGATGAGCAACCCCGATCGTATTTTTTTGAAATGGTTAGGGAAATTCACTGTCTTCTGAAAAGTACAGAAACCTTTGCAGAATTGCACCGTTGTCCTGAATCTATTGGGAATCAATAGCGATTAATTATTGCCAATTATACAGAAATTCGAACTCGGCAATCAGCGTGTGGCAGTGATAACCTAACTCGGGCTTTCGGATTGACTGGTAACAGCTAGCTTCGAGTCAAAGCTGAAGAACGCTGCTTTCATTTTCTGGAATGAACGTTTGGTATCATTACCCGACTTCGTAACGTGCCACTTATGGAGTGGCTTTTATCCCGGCCACCAAAGAAGAGTCCTTCTATTCATCCTGAGTACTGCGTGACAGGCGATTTTGTTCACTGTGGGATATTCAGTTGTGCGTTGTACAAAGAGGTCCAGACCAAGTAACACATACTATTGCGTTCATCACTTCCAGTGTGTATGCTTTATTAATTTCATTGAGGGTATCAGAGTTGCAGTCGATTCCCTGAACGTTCTTTGCTGTGGGTCCTGAAACCAGTAAATAACGAGGTCGTCCAATATGGGAAATATAGGCATGTGTGAACTGATGTTTCAAACATCACTGAATGCGGTATGAGATATTCATATACACAACCTGAAAGAAAGGTCCTCTCAATGTAGTTGTGACATTAAATAAGCACTCTAGGCCCATTTTCTGTCAGTTATCGCTTACAATCCTGTTTACGCCCGAGTTCGTGCAAAAATTTACCCTAGCTACGATAAACACGTCAGGAGATACAACAAACTGATTACTGACAAATTACATGGATCAGATAATTATTAATTGCTTTTTCCAATTACAATGCTTCATGGGCAACTGTCGTCTGGAAATGAATCCACGATATTGAATCTTTTTCCATTGCGATCAAGAATAAGAGGCCTTTGTTGCTTTGCCTTCTGTATGCGGGAGAAAACAATAATGCTGCATTCAAAAAGGTTTCGCACAAAACCCGTCACATTAGATACAATTCATTAACAAAGATGACCGCTACAAAACGAAAATATCACCGAAATTAACTCATAATAATCAGAGATTAAAACGAAGTTTATGTACTATCTTCTCTATATGTTGATACCGATGTGCGCTAGATAACTGGAAGACCAATTTCTCTGAACGTTTTCTATCGGAATTGTAGACCGGGGATGGGGCAGGGACGGAGACCAACAACAGTATGTGTCAACTTAAAATGTAAAGGGTGATTAGAGTCTGTTAAAGATGTTTTTATCATCAATGAAGTATTTATCTATATACATACAGGTGTTCTCAAGGATGATACAAAGTTCTGCTATGAACGAATGGAGATAAAATGAGCGGATTACGTTCTCACCAGATTTAAGGTAATTTTGTGAACATAATTTCGCGCTCTTTCTATCTCTATCTGCATGCCTGCATTTTACTTTGAATGACGATTAGTCAAATGGCTCGAATATGAACGCACCCTATTCCGATCAGTTGAACCACATGCAGCCGAAATCCAGCCACCTGGGCCGTGAAACAGACCGCAGAGGCGACAAAGGCTGCTGACCCATTGGCATTGAAACTGGTCAGGAACGGAGCGATTGTACGAACAACGTGGACTTCCACACCCAGTTGGTCGCACACTTTGAATAGGTCGGGTAGCGTGACAAGGCTGAAATGAGACCAAAAAACTGGAGGTTCGTAACTGGTGCAATCATACATTAGATGATTTGCGTGGTCCGGTGTGGTGGTGCGAAGGTTAGGTACTCGAGATACAAACAGACCTTAGAGAATCAGGACGAGGGAAACTGACACAATACGCACATGTTCGTCATTTTAAAAGTACTCCATTCCCTGGAATCGGGCGACAAGACGAGGCTCGGTAGTACTTAGTTCGATACCACAATTTGTAAATAAGGTTTGCAATGGTTCAATGCAAAACGAATGTACACCAACATGTTTAAAAAAGATAGCGAACTAGCCCATTTAAAAGTGTTCCGTAATTGAAAAACCATGTGCGCCACAGAGATGGGGGGGGGGATGAATGGTTGTAATTGCAGTTGCCCCATCCTGTCTGTGTAACCTACGAATTTATGACCTATTTACATTTTTGACTAATTTGGACAGGTTATTCTGGCAACAGATTGTATTTACAACCTCGCGATTTTCGGCTTTTACACCCTTTACAATATTTTTCAGTTGCTTATTTTTACGCACTATATACATTCTCCCACTCGTACTTCATATCCAACGAACATTAAATCTGAATCTCGTCACACGTTTGATCGATTGCTGTTCATTATATCCCATTTTATGCTTTCTGTTAACATGTGTTTCACTGCATCCTCTTTTCACTGTATCACCATTGCTAAGCTATGATTCATAGAATCACTTTATATACAACGTATTTTCTGCCAATTTTTGCTGTGTATCCAGATCGTGCTTCTAGATTAAGTTTCGACTTTTTGAACCATCGTTAATTCGTGCACTTAGTCTGTAGGTTAGTTGACTAGTCGTTACTTGGTCGCTCTGATTCCGTCATCGTTACAGCGGTAGCGTTTGAGGCATTATTTCCGCCTTTCGGGATGTGAAATTAAACCTGAACGCATGACTACCCGTTCAGTGTTTGATTAGTTACTTGACTTCAGAAGCATATGGGCAAATCATGATTACATAGGGACATCTCAAAATCATGAAGACAATGAACGTTGAACAATTCACTTTGCCTCAGAGTTCATCTAGTGGCTCCAGTTAGTTGTTAGAAAACCCACCGTGATTGTCAGTTCATATTATATGCAGCATGTCCATATGATGATGTAGGCTGGGTGGATAACCAAAGGTGCAAAGATAGGAACACTGGATACGATCTTGTAGCTTTATCAAGAAAGTGTACGATCTGACTGAGTATTTTTTGAATGACTTGAGATAGTTTATACAAAATTTCTCTTAACTGGTGCTCAGAACAACTGTCCAAGTTTTGGAAAATAAGAACTGAATGCTTAAAAAGGTTGTTTGTGAGCTTCTCGTTTTCAAGTACGTTTTAGTTTCGTTGAATACTTTAGCTACACTGCGTTAACGCGTTGCATGGTAAAAGAGATATGAAGAGAGTTTTACCTTTCCTCATTCGGGATTGTGTGTGTGGATTCTTGCTCAACAACTGGAATCACAACTTAGATTTCGAAAACAACATATCTGCACCAAGATAGACTGGCTACTTGAAATGAACAACCCACCCGGCGAATCTATCGAACCACAGATGTCCTACTTGATCCTAATCTGACGGTGTAATAAACAAAGCAACACCCACTCGACATATGTGCATGGATGTTTGTTTCTGAGTGAAGAAGAAGAACACAAAAAACAGACACACACAAACAGACAGAAGACATTACCGCCAAACTTTTTTCCGTGATGCGAATCGATTAATCCTGTAGTGGAATGTTTTTGCCGGGATATCGTTTGTTCAATCAAAAAAATACGTGGAAAGGTGTCATGCATCATATAATCGTCGAATTCTGTCGGTGAAAATACTGAGAGAAATTAACCTGTTCCACATTGGGGTTAAAAACATTCTTGTCCACCAGCCGGTGACATGTACACACATGTGTGTATTGCAATAATTAGTATGTGAATGAATCGACAAAATGTCCCTGGAAGCACACGTCCGGTTTTGCGGTTCTTTCCAGGAATGAGGCATGCGTATCCGGTAATCTTTCATCTCTTCATTTATGAACTTGTACTCAGGAAGTATATTGTTATTGCTCTCTCTCTCTCTCTCTCTCTCTCTATATATATATATATATATATATATATACCAAAATATTTTGATATCTTGTAATCCTTCGCCTGACTTCTGATCGGGTTCTCTAGAAGAAAAACAGTTCCTGGCAGAAAATGCTTTTATAACGAAGTAAAACGCCGTATTTAGTACAGTGAAGTTTCTCCTGTACCGGACGGAGGAAACGTGAACCTAAATGCTGGAATGCACGGTCCAGTTGTCGATGATGCGGATGTCTCATTCTTTACCTACAAGTTCGTTTGCAGCTGTGGTAACATATCTACACCGGGAAAAGTGAATTAATGTCTGTTCCAAAGTGAGATGAGCGTGTACCCAAATGATTGGTGATCAAGAGCACTCAAAACCTAACAGGAAAAACCGAGAAACTCGGCTTCATCAGTTGAGAAGTATATCACAACAGATCATCGGCTTGATGCGATGTAATATTGAGAAATTGTAGTCTTTAATTGGGATGAGGCAATATTGACCACAACACTTTACTCACCATTGTGTGCACGCAAAACAATTGGCTCAGAGTTTCTTTGCCTTGACTATAACAAAACCCTCACCCATTCCCCAACCCTATTCAAAACCCAGTGACTCATTAACTGGGCTTAGTTGATTGTTCTTGTTTTCACTATTGTATATAAACTTGTGCTTTACTCAGGCGACTGAGGGAAGTAAATAAAATGTTGGAGTCGCAAAAAATGTCTTCGCACTGTGGTCATGATCTGTCTCAACAATATTGGATGTCATTAAGCCCATCAGAAAATTGTAGATTTCTCAGTGTGTTTGCGACTTGACCACTAATCAATTTATACAATACCGCTGACAAATCCGATTTTGTTCTCGACACAGGCCCGGTATAAGAAACACTTTAAATCGTGCAATCAATACACACTGATTCGGTCAGACCATAAACTCGATTGATCGCTGTGCATTACTGCAGGGAAGCACAACACTTCAATTTGTGTCTCTTTCATTCCACTGACCTGACTGACTTTGTCATTAGAATGGGGTCAGCGAATTCTCTTTCTGACTAGCAGTGGCGGTGCATGGAGGAGGGGGCGAAAAAGGTATGAGAAATGTGGAGTCGGGTTCCGGGTAGCAGCGAGAGACCTAGTAAGTAATGCTCTGTATAGATTTCAGTCTTACAACAGAAATAGGGATTGTGACTAAGGCAGGCAGAAAACGGTCAGTTCCATTCACAACTGAAGCAGATTCACAGGACGTATATGATGGGTCGGAAATCACTTGACACATTCAAATATAGTTAAGAAATCAAAACGAAGATTGGTGCTTGTCTCTTCTGTTACAATACATTATGCAGGAAACAACCGGAACCGACACGGTTGTTGCCTGAACGTTTAAAAGTCGTAAAATTACGATGGAAAATAACCCTGAGACGAGAGTTCTGTGCTGTCCTGGGTTTTCACAGCCTTCAGTTACGGGTAAAGCTTAGTAGCTCTTTTTAAATAACAATCTGGTTGAAGGCAATGGACGGAGGGAACAGTAAGCAATCGGTAGAAGAAGACCCTCTTCAACGAGGTGCACACACGAAGTGGTCGGAAATATTATTAGAGAAAATGGTCAAGACTACTCAAAAGAAACAAAGAGATAGCTACAGCGCGGTATACGATCTGTGAAGGAGTAAAAAAACTACGATGGAATAACCCAACTACAGTGCTATCCATCTTTGGATTTTTTCAACGATTGAGCTAACTCATCGGGAACTGCTCAAATAGGAAGATGAGTACAACCCACCGATGTCTGCTAAGAAAACAGTCAACCAAATGAATCACAAATCAACTTGCTGGTATGCTTTTGCTATACATAATCGAACATGCACATGACTTGCTTTTTCTTTCAATGCACGTTTGTCCATGCAGCCTGCTCTCTATATTATAGTAATGCAGTATTCAACCACAAAGCTCGGATATATAAAATTTCCAACTTCTCAGCTTTTAATAAAAAAAGATATGTTGGAAAAGTATTCGGAACGCACGCACCAAGCACATGTGATGATTAGAAAATAAGCCACAAAGCTTTTGCAGATTTGAAACCACAGGCTGTAAACCATAGAAACTGAATTTATGAGGATAAAGAAATGCACGAAGATAATTGATCTTTCCCTTTGATCCAATAAGGCAAAGATTTAATGATGGAACACCGCTTAAAACTGATACATCTACTATAAAAGGTGTAGAATCAAACGGACCTGAATGGTTGAAAAAACGCGAGTACTCAGGCATGCGTATTTAGTACTCTAGTTTGGAGTCACTGTTTGTATTTATACTTCACCTCTCTAAGGTTTTTTCTTGCCTTAGTGCATCTGTGAGGGGTTTAAAAGTCCCAAGTTTTAACATTCCATTTATGTGGATCATTAGATTAAAGTTATGCTTAAGATGCCATCGATCCATATAAATGTGACAAGGGCCGATACACAGGTATATTTCATTATGAGTGATATCTGAACTACAAATATTGTCTTTATGGCTAAGTTGGAAAATGTTCCTCGGGGTTGAAATAACAGAATAAAAGCGGATGTTGATCTGACCTTTGAGGTATTCAGTGCCCAGCTTTTCCATAACAACAAGTTGGCATACCTCATTTTTACAAAACTGACAATAAACGTCGAAATTTTCAGAGAGATATTAATATATTAATCTACGACGAGATGTTCCGCAAATTGTGTAAAGCTCTAATGAATACAAGGAATGGCTAAGCAAAACATATGACACTTTCGTACTCTTGTGTTCAAGTCACAGTTCTATAACCACGTCTGATGATCCAGAAAGAAGCAAGTGAGAAATTCTTTTAATAGAAGCGACTAATCCTAATTCATTCATTAGTTGGCTACGAATAGTCAAAGCCTGATGAGAAAGGGTGGTGTGTCCAGTGAACTTGATCATATAGCCTTTAAACTGGGTTCAGTTTCAAATGTTTAGAAGGTCCCACGGAGCTCATAATGAGAACACAAATTGACAAACAAGCTCGTTTTCAGTGTCTTAATCATGCCATTACAACACAATAAATATGACTAGTACCAAAGAAGGATTCACAAGGAAAAAGAGAGATAATTAGAGTAAAGTAAAGAGTTTATTTCATAATTGGTCTCTCTTGGAAAATGCCTCTTGCCCTTGCATCACAGATTCCACCAAACGCTCCGGATATCCATTCTGGATGAAGATATTGCGCACATTTTGGAATTCTTCAACCAGCATGTCCTGCGTGCAAATTTTTCTAGCTCTATTGACCAAACAAAGTATGAGATTCTTCTTCATACTGAGTGGTACAAAGCTACGGAAATGAATGTACTGCCCATTCCAAGTCGCCTTTCTGTGTACTAACCGCCCAATGGATCCGTCATCACAGCGAGTTAGGCAGACATCTAAAAATGCTAGTTGATTCTTTGTTTCATTTTCAATCGGGAAATTGCTGAGAAGAAGTCTGTATACATTTCTTTACCGTTTAAAGGTGACACCTTGGCAGAGATTGTGCATAGAAGGTTATCAAATGCCATCAACAAAACGTTCTACGCGGCTAAGCTTCAAACTCGATTCGCATCTAGCCCGCTGGTGTATTTACGGTTGAAGGATAGAGTGCCTGATTCTGCCGCCTCTTTCTGTATTTACTCTTTCACTTTTTCCTGTGGAGCAAAGTATGTTGGCCGCACGACCAGGCGTCTGTCCGAGCGCGTCCGTGAGCATCACCCTGCGTGGTTGCGAAGTGG